GCGGGGATCCCCGTGACGGGCGGGGCAGGCGCTTGCCACAGTCCTTAACACGCTGCCTGGGCCGCCTGGAGCCGTCCATACTGAAGTGCCTGGGTTCATGTCCCAGCTCCGCTCCCGATTCGAGCTTCCTGCTGGCACCCACCAGGGGAGGCAGCAGCGATAGCTGAAGTGTCTGGGTCCCTGCCATCCACACGGGGGACCTGGATTGAGTTCCTGGCTTGGCTGTTGTAGGCATTTGAACAGAAAAGCAGTGCATGGAAGATCTCTCTCTGTCGCTGTCTCTGTCTCTATCTACCTTTCAAATAAAATTGGAAAAGTGATGGTGATGAAGACAGTGGCACTGCCTTGGGTTAAATTGCCACGCTGGTCCACGTAGCCTCATCCATCAGGGGACTGTGCCGTGGCTGTGTAGACGCCGTGGCTGTGTAGACGCTGCTGCCTCAGTGGTACATACGGGATTGTGCTGGTGAATGGGCACCCAGCCCAGCCTTGGTTCCCTGTGGTTCTGCCGCCTGTGGCCGTGCGAAGAGCCCATAAACAGAGAGGCTGTTGGGTGCCCTGTGTGGTCAGGAAGGGTCCTCCCAGTCCTTGCTGCCCACACCACCTGAGCTCCTGCCTACTCAATTAAAGTGAGTGACAGCACCTCCCCCCTCCAGGGGGCATGTCTCCCGGTGCTTTTCCTGGACAGGGGCGCGTGGAGAGGGCGTGCCTGGGCCCCAGCCCCATGCTTGCCGCGCACCGGGCACTGACCACACCCAGCTGCACCTGCTCCGCCTGTCCTCTGCCTGTGGCTTCCAGCTGCCGTGCCTCCGTGGCCACTCTACACTGTCCCTTCTGCTGGAGGAACCTGCCGGCTCCCCAGGACTCCCCTCCTGGCCAGTGGCCGCGACACTCCTCTTCCAGCAATGAGCTGGGCCCTGTCAGGACTGGCCTTTGTCTCAGGAGTCCAAGTGTGTTTTCCCCACTTTCTAAACTTGCTGAAGCCAGGGTAGGAAGCCCCGACCCTGTTACTCCCCCACAGCCAGAGACAGTCCCCACCTTTTACCTCCGGTCCATTAAGGTCATTGCATATGCAGCAGAATTTCTCTTTCGTATGAGATACAAGGATTTTTTCTAGTTTACCGTCTATCGTTTTAACTTCTGGTGACATTTGTGTGTGTGTGTTTCTTTATTGTGTTCAGATCTCTGCACAGTTATGTTTTGACCACGTCCTTAAAGAGGCTTTGCCCACGCCTGAACTCTCGCCTCGTTCTCCACGGTGTGCCAATTTCATATAGATAACCGGCGCCATTAAGCGTGGATCCTTTAGCTTCCTGCCCGTGGGGACCCTGGGAGGCAGTGAAGATGGCTCAGGTAGTTGGATCCCTGCCACCATGTGAGAGACCCCGATGGGGTTCCAGGTCTTAAGATCTTACGCGTGGTTCCTTTCTTCAAGTGCCCTAACCAGTTTGCAGCACTCACACATCTGGGATGGCCAGGATGCGGCGCCAGCGCGGATGGAAGAGACAGCCCCTGCTTCTGATCGGTCCCAGTGCCCCGGGCTTCCTGGAAGAGGAGGAAGACAGCCAGACGCCAGGAGGAGGCATTGTCCAACCTGGATCTTTCTCATGCAAAATGCAGGCAGGTTGGTTTCCTAGGCTGCAATGGCAGATTAGCCCCTGGGGTGACCGCTGCACTGTCCTGGACAGTCAGCCAACGGCCTGAGTTCAGTCTGGCCCCTTCTGAGGGCATGGCAGAGAATCCGTCCTTGGCTCACCGGTCGCCGTCTCACCCCAGCGTCTCACCCCAGCGTCTCTTTGCTCTGTCTCTGCGTCCCCGCGTCGTCTTTCCATGAGAACGGCAGCCATGTTGGATTCCCATGCCCTCTGTAAACACACTGTCTCCTCTCCATCTGGGTCTCCCATGTGGGTGATAAAACAATTGTTTGTTAAAGAAAGACCCTGTCTCGGGACCAGTGCTGTGGCGCAGTGGGTTAACGCCCTGGCCTGAAGCGCCGGCATCCCATATGGGCACCAGTTCTAGTCCCAGCTGCTCCACTTGCAATCCAGCTCTCTGCTGTGGCCTGGGAAAGCAGTAGAAGGTGGCCCAAGTCCTTGGGTCCCTGAACCCACGTGTGAGACCCGAAGGAAACTCCTGGCTTCGGACTGCTGTGGCCGGCGCACCGCGCTGATCCGAAGCCAGGAGCCAGGTGCTTCTCCTGGTCTCCCATGGGGTGCAGGGCCCAAGCACTTGGGCCATCCTCCACTGCCCTCCCGGGCCACAGCAGAGAGCTGGCCTGGAAGAGGGGCAACCGGGACAGAATCCGGCGCCCCGACCGGGACTAGAACCCGGTGTGCCGGCGCCGCTAGGCGGAGGATTAGCCCAGTGAGCCGCGGTGCCGGCTGGGAAAGGTCTTAGAGCGCTCCTGCAGGGGGAACGGGAGGGGAACGGCCAGCTGGCGACACAACCACTGCTTTCCCTCTCCCGCGTCCCGGTCTCGGTTTTCTCCCGTTCGCCGAGGTCGGGGGTGTGCGGGCTGACCAGGGCAGCGTGGCATGGGAGCTGACTGTCGGCGTCGCAGCGGCTGGACGACCCCAGCTCCTGCCCTGCGGCTCCCAGCTCCCATCCTGCACACCTGAGACGGGGATGCCGGGGCCCACTGCCCTTCCTCAGCCGAGAAAATGGGACAGCCCTGCCGAAGGGGGCCCAGAAATGAGGGGCCAGGGCTGAGAGCGTCAGCAGGCACGCTGGGGGAGACGCTGTCTGTAACCTGATTTGGGGATCCACCAGGAGCATCTTGGGGGGCGAGGGGAGGGAGGATGGGAGACTGAAGACCCAGGGTTGCTCCAGGGAAGAACCACGGGCCAGGAGTTTGGGCTTGGCGCCCAGGACCTCTCCACTGTGCCCCCCACAGAGCACCTACCGTGCCTCACACCCTTCCTCCTCGCAGGGTCTCGGGCCGTGTTTGGAGGTGCAGAAGGGGAGGGTCCCCTCAAGACACAGAGACCACGCCTCCCAGAGGAAGGCAGCAGAAACGTCAGAATGAGTGGACCCTGGTGGAGCGCAGGGAAGGCTGCGGGCCAGGACCTGGACTGGACCCAGGCATGTGGGCACTGGGACTGAGAATCAGCACCACGACTGTGCATCAGCACCAGGACTGAGGATCAGCACCACAACCACAGATCAGCATGAGGACTGTGCATCAGCACCATGACTGTGCATCAGCACCAGGACTGTGCATCAGCACCATGACTGTGCATCAGCACCAGGACTGAGGATCAGCACCACAACCACAGATCAGCATGAGGACTGAGGATCAGCACCGGGACTGTGCATCAGCACCAGGACTGTGCATCAGCACCACCGGGACTGTGGATCAGCACCATGACTGTGCATCAGCACCACGACTGTGCATCAGCACCAGGACTGTGCATCACCACCACGACTTTGCATCAGCACCAGGACTGTGCATCAACACCAGGACTGAGAATCAGCACCAGGACTGAAGATCAGCACCGGGACTGAGGATCAGCACCACGACTGTGCATCAGCACCGGGACTGTGCATCAGCACCAGGACTGTGCATCACCACCACGACTTTGCATCAGCACCAGGACTGTGCATCAACACCAGGACTGAAGATCAGCACCGGGACTGAGGATCAGCACCGCGACTGTGTATCAGCACTGGGGCTGGGGAGCCGTGGGCCAGAGGAGCCCCTCAGGCTCGGGCTGCAGTCCTGCCCCGCAGGCCCCGAGCTCGCTCCACCTCCCGTTGCTCCCGCCCTTGTCCCTCTGCTTCCTTTATGAGCCCTCCCAGTGCCCAGGCACTGCCATCCTCCACGGCTTGCCCAGGCCGTCAGCAGGGAGCTGGATCGGAAGTGGAAGAGACGGGACTGGAGCCAGCACGTGGGTGGGATGCCAGGGCTGCCGTTGGCAGTGCAGCCCACTGAGCCACAGCACTGGCCCTACAGGGGCGCTTTTCCTCACCAAACCCCAGCAGCAGATCAAAAGCGAGACTTAAGGCTGAGACGTGGTGCCAGCCCCATTGCCACGAGCAGGTGAACGGGCAAACCAGTTGCCGCGTCTCCATCTAGCAGGGTGCCACTCAGCCTTAAGAAACACAGGCCGCGAGGTGGAGGACGCTCGGGGACGTTGTCCTAAGCAAAATGAGCCCAACACAAAAAATAGGCGCCAGGTGGCTCCACAGGGGGAGAGGCCCTGGATATTATGTCTGTTTCCTGGCGATTTTTAAAAGAAGGGGGAAGCCAGACTCAGACACCCAGGCTACGAGAGCCTGGGAGACCCCCCGTCTGTCTCCAGTGGGAGCCTGTGCCGTTTGGTCTCTCCGCACGGAAGGTGTTTTATTGGCCGGGTACATTGGGGCAGTGACGTCGGTGGGGCGGGGTGACAGATGCACCCCCACCTGTGCTGTGTGGCCTTGAGATTCTTAACTACAATTGAGAAGTGGGCGCTAGGAGAGGCGTTGTAGACACTGCAGGAAGCGTACGTGTGTGTGTGTGTGTGTGTGCAGGGATGGTTTGCTCTGATCCTAGGCCCTCGGAATATCTCTCCAGCTCAGAGATGTCTGAGGGCGGAAGATTCGCTTGCCCGAAGTGCTCGGTGCCGGGCGTAACGGCGCTCCAGCGGCACAGCCTCATCAGGTTGAGTGTTTTGAACCAGCTGCCCCCTCCGGCAGGCCGTGCCCCGAGCTCTCTGGTCCATATCCGTCTCGTCCTTGTGAGGTCTCAGCACTTCCTCTTAACCCTGCATCTGCCACGGGAGTGTACAGAGAGAGGAAGAGTCCCCCATGTGTCACGCGGAGACCGGAGAGACCCCGGCACCTGCTGGGGAGAGGGCAGGGGGTCCCCGAGCCCCGGCGCGTACTTGTGGACAACGGTCGGAGGCTGGGTCAGCGGCCAGCGAGAACGGATCTCCAGGACGAGTGTCACATCAATATGGCAGTTACACCATTCTCCCTCCAACCTGTCGCCAGGTCGGAATGGCTGGTGACATCAGAGGCTTCCGCCCTCGCCGATTGGCAGAGCCACACTCCGTGGGCGCTCGGCAGCCGTGGAGGGCAGCATCTTCCGAGAGCTGGGTTCAGCCGGATTCCAGGGGAAGGGTCGGGGGGCCGTGAGAGGCAACAGCACACTTGAGAAAGTCATGGCCGGTTGTGAACCACACGTCCAGGCCGAGGCCCAGAGCCCCCAGCCCAGCTCCTTGGGGTGCCCCCCGGAGGTGGTGTTAGACCATGAGGCCCCAGGACCATCAGGTGAGGCGGGGAGCGAGTGGGAATTGGAGGGGGTTCCCTGGAGGGGAGGGGGGCACAGAAGGCAGGAGAGCCGAGTAGGGTGGAGGGAGAGGAAGAGGAGGCAGGAGGCCGGGGGCGGAGGGGGCGGAGGGGGCGGAGGGGGCACCCACAGCAGAGCAAGGAACGGGGACTGGGGGCTGCGGTCCAAGGCCGAGGCAGGGGCAGGAGTGGGCGGGCAGAGGGCACGTGGCAAGGTGAACGAGGGCGAGAGGCCAGAGGCTGGGGAGGCCGCGACAGTGGCCTCACTCCGGCGCCTGGCTTCTTCACGCAGCCCCATGGGTGGATCCCAGCTCCGGGCCGCAGAGTCCTGCTTGCAACGGAAAGAGAGCGTGGTCGGCAGCCTTCCCGGAGTCGGCTGAGGCGCTGGATTCGGAGGGCGAGCTGATGCCGGTGCTGCAGGGGCGCCTGGCCTCCCTGCTGCTGCCAGGGCCGGCCCCCGGGCCCCCGGAGACCTGGGGCGTGGAGTGGCTCTGTGGGCTCAAGATGAGGCTGAAGAGACGGCGTGCGTCGCCGGTGCTGCCCGAGCACCACGCGGTCTTCGCCAGGCTGCTAGGTAGGGAGGGACCCCTGGGGGCCGTGCAGAGAGAACTCGCAGTAGCCACGCTTTTCCAATAGCGAGGGGAAAAAAAAAAAAAAAGCTGGTATTCCGTGAGCTGACCCTCCCTGGAGGGCCTAGAGCTGGTCCTTGTTGGCCCCGGCTGGGCTCGGGAAGGGGCTGCCCCCAGGGGGAGAACCCCTGGGTCCGGCCAGCCCCTTGGACGCGTATGGGTCTCCTGGACCGGGGATGCCGGGACCACGGGCGCACACTGGGGGGGCCCCCCGCGGGGCCCTCACGCCTGGTGCCTGCGCCCTGAGCCTGCACCCAGCACTCCTCTCGCCTCACCCGGGTTCTCCCAGGTGGAGCATGGCCCCACCACTCCCCAGCACCCGCACCCCGCTTCTCCACCTAACACACCTGCCCTCCCTTCACAGAGGACCCTGTGGTGAAGCGGTTCCTGGCCTGGGACAAAAACCTGAGGGTGTCTGACAAGGTGAGGTGGCTGGGACGGGCGGCCCGGCGTGGGAGGCAGGGCCTTGGACGTCTGCAGCCGGAACCCCCACCTCCCACATCCCCGCCCCTCAGAGCCCACGGCAGCCCCGGCCTCTGCTCAAGGCCCTGGGCCCTGGCCCCCAGCTCTGGGGAAGCCCCAGCCCCAGGTGACCCTGGCGAGCTGGGTGGCAGCCTTGGGTCTCACCTCAGGCCATGACGGTCACTCCCCTCTCTCCCTCTTCCCCTCTCCGGCAGTACCTGCTGGCCATGGTCGTGGCCTACTTCAGCCGGGCCGGCCTCTTCTCCTGGCAGTACCAGCGCCTCCATTTCTTCATCGCTCTGTGAGTAGCCGGCTTCCCCGCCTCTCGGCCTGGCCCGGCCCTGGCCCTCGCGGGCATTCGGGGAGGGGTTGGCGGCAGGTGGATGAGTACTGTCTCTCTGCCTCTCCAGTAAAATGAAAATAAGTAAATTTAAGAAAAAAAATTTAAAAAGCTACAGAGAATAAGAGGAAACACACTGTCCTGGGAGGAGGGAGAGAGAGCACACTCCAGGCCCCCTGTCCCTGGGACCCCGCCCCGCCCCCAACACCAGCCCCACACACACCCCCAAGCACCGCCCCAGGCCCAGGGCCCCTTCCCCACGGCTCAGTCCCTCTCCCTCCAGCCCGGATGTGACCGCGTCTCTCTGCCGCCAAACCTCTGAGCCCCCGGCACCCCCTTCCTCCCTTCAAGGCCAGTCCTGCACGTGTGTGTGTCTGGTTTTCCATCCGGGCCCCTGCACACCTTGGTCCTCAGAGTCAACTCGAACCCCAGAGCCTTCCTGCTGCTGCCAGCTGTGTTCACAGGGCTGGCGGTTTCTTGTCTCCCCACTTGCGGGGCCCCGGTGCTGTTGGGCACGGTGGGAGGCGGCTGCTGGTCACGAGGCCAGCGCCACCTTAAGAAGCTCGGTGCCATCCTCTTCCCCGCCCATGTGAGCCTGAGAGGCGGTCAGGATGGCTTCCGGTTGTCAGTCACCCACGCTGTGGGGTCCGTCCTGTGTGCCAGAGGACTCCGGTGACTGACAGGTGCCTGCTGAGCCAGTGCACTGGGCCGCGCCCAGCCCCGGAGCAGCTGTGGGGCTGCAGAGTGAACCCAGAATAAACCAGGGTCTGCCTCGGCCCAGGATGTGGTGGGGGGAGGCAGGTGTGCACCTTAGCAAGGTGAAGGGGGACGAGGTGCCGAGGGCGTGGCGGGAGCAGCCTCCTCATCACCCCTCGGTCAGGGGCAGCCCCCGCCCTTCAGTGGCCTCCACTGAGAGCTAGGGTTCCTTCCGCAGCTACGTGGCCAGCGACATGGAGGAGGACAACCAGGCCTCCAAGCAGGCCATCTTTGCCTTCCTGTACGGGCAGAGCCGCGCCCAGCGTCCGCTCTTTCATAAACTGCGGCTCCAGTTCATCCGCTCCATGGGCTGGCAGACGAGGGTCACCCGTGAGGAGTGCGAGGAGGTGGGTGCGGGCGTGGCCAGGGCGGGGCCCAGAGCAGAGGGGCGGGGCCGGGCACCGGCAGGGAGGGGACTCTCAGGGGCTCTCTTTCTTTCCAGATCCAGGCCTACGACCCGGAGCTGTGGGTGTGGAGGCGAGATCGCACCCTCATTCCCTAAAGTGCCGCGCCGAGGCCAGAGGCCACTGGGCAGAGGGTAAGTGTGTCTGGGGGCCCTGCGGCTGGCACGGGGCTCTGGGGGCGCCCTCCACCTGGGGGGGAACCTGCCCCCCGGCCCTGTGCTCACTGTGAGAGAAGCCGGCCCTCCCCCCCAAGCCTGGCCACTGCAGAGTGACAGCCGGACAGGGACGCAGCCTTGGTGACACGCGGGAGCAGGGGCGCTGGCTTAGAACCCAAAGCAGCTGGCTCTGGGCGAAGCGGGGAGCCCTTAGCTACACACGTCCAGTTCCCCTCGGAGGTTTTCTTGTTCTCTTTAAAACTCCGGGCCAGCCTCGGGCGCCAAGCACAGAGATTTCGCTGCAACAGCGGGGACATTGTTAGAGGGGGCGGTTTGCACGTCCAGCGCTGGAGGATAGTAACTCCGGAGCCTTCCAACGTGCAGCTGAGCCCTCAGCGGGTGCCCGTCTGGAGCAGTGTCCCTTCCGGCACAACTGTACCTCGGTGACACCCCAGCTTCCTCAGGGGCTGCAAAAAGTCCGTGGCAAAATGCACACGGCGGAGCAAGCTGTGCCCGGGTCTCCGGAAGCGAGGGCTCCCAATAAACGTAGTGAACCGCATCTTTCCGCCAACTTTTCGAAGTGCTCATATGGTCACGGAATTTGCCAGAATGAGGGAAGGTCAGGATAGGAAGTGCGGTGTGGCTGCTCACCCTGACTCACTGGAGTGATCTGTGTGGGCGGGGCGGGGTCAAGCAGAGATGGGCTTTATACCTTGTGTGGTCACCTAAGTTGGGGACCAAGCGGTGCGGCTCAGCTTTCGATGTAGGATTAGGGACCGGGCACCCGGTCTCCTGGTCCGGGACATTGCAAGCCGCCTCGGGCCCTAGCTCTGCCGCGGGGCCTGCTGGGCCTGGCCTGGGGCACGGTCAGAGATGGCTGGGGTCGGGGGCGAGGACGGCTCCCGAACAGGTTTCGAAGGAAGGGCCAGGTGAGTGTGAGTCACGTCCAGCCTCGTCTCTGCTTCCAGACCCGAGGGCCTCGGGGAGGCGGTCACTCAGCAAGAAGCAAGACACCAACGACATCGTGGGAGAGGAAGACAGGAGGCTGCTGTGCAGACGTCCTGAGAAACCCAGACTCTTCTAGGAGTCGGACTTACCACGAGCTGCTCCTGGGGGCACTGGGCACTCCCGGGGGTCTGTGGGACAGTGAGAAGCCAGGGTTTTCCATCCAGCTCCCTCCTGCCTGAGACACCCCCTCCACTTCCCCGTTGCTGAGTTCAGATCTCCCTGAGGTAGCAGCCCGAGGCCCTGTTTCATTTGTTTTTCTAATTATTTGAGATCGCCACAGGCTAAAGCCACTTGATGGCAGACCATGTGGGCTCATATTGGAAGATAATTACATTTAAAATATTAAATTAGAGCCATAAGATTGTAATAGAGTGCTTAATAAGAGTCTATACATTGTATTTATTTTTAAAACGTTGGCCATAGAGTTATTATAAACTTTATATTGTTAGTAGCTTTGAAGTAGTCATAGTTCTGAAGACATACTGCCCCTATACGGTTTTCTGATGCTGTTATAACTTATAATTACATAAATATAATTTTTGTTCATTTTAAGAGTTTTTTTTTAATCTTTTATACCTACAGAATCTACCTATAGCTCAATAATAATGCAGCCAAAGTTTTGAATGATTTTTTTAGTGGAGATGTAGTCTTTGTTATTGAATTGTAAGAATTCGGTTGTCATATTTAACTCGCCTTGTAACCTGAAAGAGGACGTGGGTTACAAATTTTGAGGAGGAAGGCACAGTGTATCTCTTGGGGAAAATGTAATAAAAACGGAGTCTTCCTCACGGCGTGTGTGACCATTTTCATCCCGATCACTTGTCTGCTGTCAGATTATCTTTTTCTTTAAAAAAAAAAAAAACGATTATTTATTTGAGAGGTAGAGTCACAGAGAGAGACAGACAGAGAGAGAGGGAGGGGGTCTTCTGTCCATCCTCTGGTTCACTCCCCAAATGGCCACAACAGCTGGAGCTGAGCCGATCCGGAGCCAGGAGCCAGGAGCTTCTCCCTGGATCTCCCAGGCCATAGCAGAGAGCTGGATCGGAAGTGGAGCGGCCGGGACTCAAACCGCTGCCCAAATGGGATGCTGACGGCCACAGGCAGAGCCGGCCCCTGCCAGACGGTCTTGATGCCTATTGAGGTTGTGGTTCTCGGACCACATTGATTCACTCCGAGGAATAACTCTGAGTTGTTTTTCATGCAGAAAAAGTGGTAGAAGAGGGGGCACAGCCTATGCTACGTTCTTAAAGAAAGAAAGCAGGGGGAGAGGTTGAGGAGGGAAAACCGCACGAGGGCTTAGAGAACCGAAGTGCTCTGGATAAAGCCAAGGTGGCTGGGCGGGAGGTGGATTCCTAGGTGCGGTCCAAGGGCCAGGGCGTGGTCCCACAGGCCGACTGATGTTCGAATCCCAAAGGCCTTTCCACGATCCGGGACTCCAGCTTTGTAAAGTAGAAGGAGAATTGACAACGCGTGGTGAAACAGGAGCCAGGGTGCTGGAGCGGTCTCTGGGCAAAACGAGACAACAGGAGGAGCTGAGGCTGCGTGGCGTGGATGCTGAATTCCTGGAGCAAAGGATCTTGGGAGAATCAGAGAAGTGGGGAGGGGGGAGCAGCGAGAAGCAAAGCATCAGCCAGAAGCAAACAGAACTAAAGAGGGGCAAACAACGGGGCCGTGGGCTCACTGATGAGATACGGCTGGGCGAGGGAGAAGAGTGAGAGCCAGGGTCAAGGGCTGGGACAGGCGGCCCAGCGGAGCAACGGGCAGAAGCCAACCAGCCCCGGTGCTGTGCTGGTTTGAGTCCTAACTGCTCTGCTTCCAACCTAGCTTCCTGCGAACGCACCAGACAGATACCCGAGAGCCCGCCCACCCGCCTGGGCGACCTGGATGGAATTCTAGAATCCTGGCTTTGGCCTGGGCCAACCCTGGCTGTTGCAACCATCTGGGGAGTGAAGGATAGAAGATCTCTCTTGTTCTACCTTTTATATAAATAAATCTAAAAAAAAAAAAAAAAAAAAAAGCAGGGAGGCGGGCAGGGGACAAGCTCTGCAATATGGTTCTGCCGCCAGCCATCCGGAGTTAGGTCACGTGTCCCGGACGATGGCCACAGGCCCCCCCTAGGTGGCGGTCAGATGCCAACGGCAGGTGCAGGCTCCCAGGTGGCAGGTTCCTGATCCACCGCCTCCAAAGGGGGCGCCCCACCCCCCCTCAGGTTTGCGGATTCTGTAGAACAACTCGCACGGCACCTAACACGGCCATTGTATCCTAGCAGAAGAGGACATGGGTCAGGCCCAGCCCAAGGAAGACACAGTCCAGCGTGGAGTTCCTGTGTCCTGGGGACGCTCGGCCAGGGTCAGATTCCTTTTATCAGGGTTCCATGATGATGCAGCCATTGCCCACGAACTTGAACTCAGTCTCTGGCCCTACCCATTCCCGGATCGCGTTTGGGCTGTCACCGTCTAGCCACGCGGCTGCTCTTTCTATTGGGGCTGGCCTCCCCGCCGGGTCCCCTGGTTCCTCCCCTGCAGGAACCAGAAATGACATCTAGCCCAACCCGGGGCCCGGGAGCAGCCTGTGATGGGAAGCGTCTGGCCGGGAGGGCGCAGCTCTGACCCAGGGAGAGCAGTGGATGAGTGGAAGAGCTGCCGACGACAGACCCAGAGGAGCCACAGGGCTGCCGGGGCCCCGAGCATCCACGCGGAAGGCCGGCTGGGGTGTGGACGTGGTTTGAGTGCGTCACCCCCGGGGGTTCCCAGGCTTGGTCCCCAGCGTGGCCGTGTTGGGTGATGGAAGTTTGGGAGGGGGAACCCCTGCGGAGGGTCGCTGGTCTCCAGGGGTGAGCGGCTCTCGGGGTTCCTAGAGAGCAAGGCTGTCCCGGGGCTGGCGCCTTCAGCACGAGGCTGGCTTCCTTCCCACTTCTCTGCAGTGTCCCACCCAACCACGACAAAACCACCAGGGCCACGCTTTTGGATCTCCAGAAATGGGGGCTAAATAAACCCCTTTTCCTTTTCTCGAAGGTTTATTTGTTTGAAAAGCAGAACGAGAGAGAGAGAGAGGGAGAGACAGAGAGAGAAGAGGATCTTCCATCCGCTGGTTTGCCCCCCAGATGACTGCCACAGCCAGTCTGAGTCAGGCCACAGACGGGGGCCGGGAGCTTCATCCCCGGCTCCCATGTTGGCGGGAGGGGCTGGGTATGTGGGCCACTCTGCCGCCTTCCCAGACACGTTAGCTGGGTCAGCCGGGACTCCAACTGGTGCTCCTGTGCAGGACGCCGTCCTCACACCACGGCCTCGTCCTCTGCCCCACAACACTGGCCCTGTTTCCTCCCTCTCTCCCTTCCCCTCTCGCTCCTCCTCTTCCTCTCCTCCCCTTCCCCTCCCCCTCCAATATCTGGCTCCCTCCTGGCATAGGAACACAGACTAAGGTGCTGTGGCGTAGCAGGTGGGGCCTCTGCCTGCAGTGTTGGCATCCCATATGTGCACCGGTTCAAGTCCCGTCTGCTCCACTTCCAATCCAGCTCTCTGCTGTGGCCTGGGAAAGCAGTAGAGGATGGCCCAAGTCCTCAGGCCCCTGCACCCATGTGGGAGACCCAGAAGAAGCTCCTGGCTCCTGGCTTTGGATCACCACAGCTCTGGCCATTGCAGCCATCTGGGGAGTGAACCAGTGGATGGAAGACCTCTCTCTCTCTCTCTCTCTCTCTCTCTCTCTCTCTCTGTATCTCTGACTTTCAAGTAAATAAATAAATCTTAAAAAAAAAGGGCACAGCATCAGCACTGGGAAGCAGGATGAAGGGGAGGGACTGAGAGCGCACAGGGATTAGGAACCAGCTAGAAATGGACAGTGGGCAAGGCTTGCAAACAACTCAAGGGCACCTGGGAAGCTCTGGGTCTCACAGGGCAGGTGGGGGGAAGAAGGGCAGCTGAGGGGAGGAAGAGATGAATGGGAAGGGTCAGCCCGGACCCAGGACGCAGGCAACAGCAGGCGAGGAAGCAGGCGGCCAGGCCACAGGCACAGGGGAGAGTGGGGAGAGAAGGCGAGAAGCCTGGGCTGAGGACTGGCCCAGCCGAGGAGTAGGTGATGAAGCTACCGGAGCCGGGAGGAAGAGACTGGTCAGCTGAAAAAGGGAGGGATGCCAGGGCCACGGAGGCCATTGGAGTCCACTGGAGGCCACAGGAGGGTCACAGGCAGCCATGGAGGCCACTGGAGGCCATGGGAGGGTCACAAGTGGCTACAGAGGCCACTGGAGGTCACTGGGGGCCATGGGAGGGTCACAGGCGGCCATGGAGGGCACTGGAGTCCACTGGAGGCCATGGGAGGGTCACAGGCAGCCATGGAGGCCACTAGAGGCCATGGGAGGGTCACAGGCAGCCATGGAGGCCACTGGAGTCCACTGGAGGCCATGGGAGGGTCACAGGTGGCTACGGAGGCCACTGGAGGTCACTGGGGGCCATGGGAGGGTCACAGGTGGCCATGGAGTCCACTTGGGGCCTTGGGAGGGTCACAGGTGGACATGGAGTCCACTGGAGTCCACTGGAGGCCATGGGAGGGTCACAGGCAGCCATGGAGGCCACTGGAGGCCATGGGAGGGTCACATGCAGCCATGGAGGGCACTGGAGTCCACTGGAGGCCATGGGAGGGTCACAGGCTGCCATGGAGTCCACTGGAGGCCACTGGGGGCCATGGGAGGGTCACAGGTGGACATGGAGGCCACGGGAGGGTCACAGGTGGCCATGGAGTCCACTGGAGGCCACTGGGGGCCATGGGAGGGTCACAGGCAGCCATGGAGGCCACTAGAAACCACAGGAGATGCTGGAGTCCAGTGAAGGCCATGGGGAGACCATGGGAGGGTCACAGGCAGCCATGGAGGCCACTAGAAACTACCAGAGGCATTGGAGTCTATGGGAGGCCACTGAGAAACCATAGGGATGTCACAGAAGGCCACGGAGGCCACTGGAGGCCGTAGTGGAGACCATGGTAGTCCACTTGAGTCTACAGGTGACACTGGAATCCATGGCACATGGGAGGCCACAGAGGCCACTGGAGGCCATGGGGGAGACCATGGGAGGGTCACAGGAGGCCATAGAGGCCATGGAGGCCACTAGAAACCACAGGAGGCACTGGAGTCCATGGGAGGCCATGGGAGGGTCACAGGTGGCCATAGAGGCCACTGGAGGCCACTAGAAACCACGGGAGGCACTGGAGGCCACGGCACATGGGAGGCCACGGAGGCCACGGAAGCCCCGTGGTTTATTTGGCTATGCGCTCACAGGAAATCGCTGTGGCAGAGCACGGCGCTTCCGTGCACCCCAGACCCAGTTCCCCCATGACGACGTCGTCCCCAGCTGTAGCCACATTCAGCCAGGAACTTGACGCAGACACCATGTATGTAGGGGTCTCCATTTTTAGATTTTTGTAAACATCACTGGGTCAAGACGCAACCAGGGGAGATGCTGCGTGAAGCCAGACACAGGCTGGAAGCTCCCGTAGAGACGTGCCCTTACTAAGGAGCACTTTGAGTTCAGAGTTCAAGGCGGCCATTACTCACAGCGCCGGGCAGCCCTAACGGCTACACCGGGTAGACACATTTACGACGTTCCCTAAAGCCAGTGGCACACAGATTTATGGGAAATAGAGGCCGGGGACTCGCCTTAGGACCCGGGGGCGGGCCCAGGGAGGCAGCTTCCGGTGACCTCCTGCGCACGCGCAGCCCCCCTCCCGCCGTGTGCGTGTCCACGCATGCGCGCCGCCGCCGCGCTGCCCTCGCTTCCTGTCCGTCCCTGAGTCGCTTCTCGCACTGCTGCTCAGTTTGGCCTCCGGTGGGCGACAGTCGCCGAGCCTGCGGGGTGGGGGGCTGGCCGGGCGGGCGCGGGGCGGAGGCTGCGGCGGGCACCTCGGAGCGCGAGCCCTGGAGCCCGCGGGGCCGGGCGGGCAAAGGGGCGGCGGGACCCGGGAGCCCGAGGCCCCGCGG